TTCACAATTAATCAACAGAGAAAAAATTTTGCGTTCGCACTCATTTTGCCAGTAATCTTTTGTTCTGGTCACGCTCCATTGTTCTACTTTCTCATTTAATTGGAGCCAGAATAGACAGGTGGCATCATGTTTAAAATAAGAGGATGATAAAATATTATATGTCTGTTTTTGAGAGACCAAGGACTATTGTTTATTAGTACTGATGCTGGGATTCCTGGGTAATAAACCCAAATCACAGAACCTGTGGCATGGAAAGTGCTATGTTCACTAAGTCCTGAATTCAGAATTTAATAGAAAGTCTTTCGTTGCTGATTTAACCAGGTGACTATGACTTTGAGTCTATGTGGAACTGTTGGATGATATCTACACAGTAACTTAAAATAGCTTTTTGTTTTAATGAATGTTAGAGTTAGTCTTCTAGCAGGGAGAGTAATAAGTAACTGGAAGTCCGTTTCTCAAGAGAGACCTGTCCCAATTCAGAGAGAAGCAGAATCTCATTCAACATCAGGGGTTGACTGTCAAAAAAAGAGAAGCAGACTGCTCTTTTTTGTCCCCATTACAGTGGACACGAGCTCCCTGCTCTTTAGGTCTGGGATAGCCTCAGGATGTACAGACCGTACCTGAGTGGCTCAGGAATGCGGTGGGCCTGGTGGTGGAAGCTCATCAAGGTACATACTGTGAACATTTTGTGTCTCATCTTCTAAGCCAGGGCAGGGAGTGTCCTTGGAGCATTTAGTCTCCCAAGTTTAAGAGATGTGACTTTTTTGCCTGGTGAAGAGTCTTTCCTTAGGTCTTAGAATAATGCCTGGCACATCACAGGCATATTTGTTGACCAGTGACAGGAAGGTCTGTGTGGTCTCTAAAGTGACACGAGAACTGAATGCTCTGTGTCTTCCAAATTGACTGCTGGGACAGTTCGAAATGCCGTGGAGGAAGCAGAACGGCTGATAGGAAAGGGGAAGCGGAAGAGGTGGCAAGCCGGTGCTGGCGTGGGCTGAATATAATCAGTCCCCATCTAGGCATGAGGGGCTGGATGGCACTGCTGTCAGTGGACGAGATCAGCTCTCTGTCATTTTACTCGGCATTAAAAAATGAACTTGGAGTTGAGTTTGTAGCTAAGGATTAGTTTGGCTGCTCATCTTGAAATGCAAATGTAACCAGTGGAATTATTAGTATAAATGTTGGGTCTCGGTTTTGCACCTGGAGCAGTGCAAGACTCAGGCATGTCAATTCCTTCCTCTGAAATCTGAAGCAGAGAGAAGAATCACGTGAACTGAGGGAGTTTGTCAGGTCAGGTTTATGCAAGGTATGCCCCAGTACTCAGTTCTGGGCTCTTGGCTGAGTGTCATTACAGGACTTGTACAGCCAAGCTTGCTGGCTCACTTGGTGCTGTCCTTTTGTCATGTTTCATATTCCAGTGTCTTCTCACATTTATACCTCGTTGGTTCATTCATTCAAAACGTGGAGCCTATAACACGTGAAGGTACCGTTCTTCTATACCCTCGCCTCTGTCCCAGTCTTCTCTATCTTTCTTTTATTCTTGCTGTTTTTTAGAAACTGGTCACCTTGTGGAAAACGCTCCTTATCAAAACTGTGGTTCAGGTCAGATGGCATAATAGATCTGCAGAACTAGGCACGCACTTCCAAAATTTGGAGTATTTGCTGGTGTTTGTCAAGGTCTCAAATATCTACTGTACGTGCTCAGGGCATGTTTCTTGTGGTGCAGGTTTTGAGTTTAGTTGAACTTTAGTTTTGTCACAACTACTTAAAACCCTGTGCCTTTTGTCCCAGTGTGACTACCCCCAGTGTAACTCTGAAACACATTTACATAAAGAGGCCTTTAGAGGGTGAAGGGAAATAGTGGTTGATGGCCTGGCCCCCTGATATTTGCTCATAGAGGAGGAAGCTGAGGTCCAGAGTTGCTCAGCTCTCTAGGACGAGCTCCCGAGTTTCCGACTCCCTGGTGCCTGCTCATTCCATTCCCTTCAAACCATCCCACTAGGTGACCACTTCATGTTCTCGCTTCCTGCTTTATATGTATGTGAGTGTGATTAAAGGAAAACACGCTGGTGGCTCACTGTTGCTGACATACATGTTAAAAGTCAGAAGGGACCACCAAGATCAAGGCTACTAGTCAGGATTCGGTAAGGTGGACTAACAACAATTCCAAATAAGTGAATCAGTTTCTGCCATGTCAGACCTTGAAGGTGGCTCCCCAGGGCTGGAATGGGCTCCACAGTGTCAGGGGCGCAGACTCCTTCCTCTTTGTTTCTACCGTGGACAGCTTCCGTGCCCAAGCTACGTCCTGGCCCAAGATGGCTATTGGACATCAGTCATCATGCTTACATTCCAGCTAGTCTGGGGGAGCCAGGGCAAGGATACACCCCTCTCAACAGAGCCTGTAAAACTTGCACACACACTTTTAGTCAGAATTCACTCACATGGCTCTGTCTGGCACCTAGGGAGAGTAGCTGTGTCAGAGAGAATGGATACTGGCGGTCTCTGTCATGGAGACATATGGACTAGGTCCTGATCACTTGGATTCATTTTATTTATTCAAAAATTATTTGTTAATGGTCTGTAGTGTACCTAGGCACCAAGAAAGCAGAGAGAAAACAGACACAGTTCCAGTCCTTAAGACGTTTGCCTACATAGGGAGACAGACACTAGTCAAGCACAAACACACTTGTATAAACTGTGACAAGTGCTGTGGGGAAGGGGCACCGTGTGCTAGGGAGAATGTAACAGGGATTTGCTCAAGCCTAGGGGTTGGAAATGGGTCAGAGAAGCTTTGCCCAAGGAAGTGACATTTGAGCTGAGAGATGGAGAAGGGGGGAGAGGAGGTGGCAGGAGTGAGAGACCGAAGGTGGCCAGGAAGGGGAAGAGGTGAGAGGATACTGGGGAGCCTGGGTCAAACCCTGAGGGCCCTCAGTTGGCCTGGGACTGAGGGATGTCCCTGGACATGGAACTTTTACTGCTAAGATGGAGAGGCCCAGGCCAGCCTCCTTGGAGGTCACATTAATAGTTGGATTCCTTTACTATTAAGTTCATCAAAGTTCCTTTGTAGATAAGCATGGCCTCCAGCCATATACTAAAACAACAATTGACTGATAAAAGTCGCCCCTCACATGAGCACAGTACAGGCTTCATTTACGTGCAGCTGGATGACCCGACCAGTGAGACTGCCCTTTATCTGGCATGGTTTCTCTCAACCGTAATTTTGGAAATGATTGGCATGTGATAATATATTAGAGATAACAGAAACGGCCAGGGGTGGAGGAAACCCTTTCCCCAGAGTGACGCTTCTCAGCACTGGCAATGCATTGGAATCACCCCCGAACTTATAAAAGGATGGGTGCCTGGGCCCCAGCCCAGTCCACCAGAGAAAGCATGGGGAGCCAGGCAGGGTGGTTCTGTGACAGCGCCTGCCGGAGACTCTGAGTGCCTGTGAGTCACCGGGGGGGGGGGGGGGGGGGGGGGGGGGGGGGGGGGGGGGGGGGGGTGGCTCGGAGACGCAGACTGCCTGAGGATCTGCACTCTCCTTGCCCGGGTGGTATTGAGGTGCTGTTCACAGACTGAGTACACAGCTCTCTCAGGTTTGATGAGTTTGTTTCGATGCGACCAGTTTCTCTTTAGCAGAGCAGACCTAAAGGATCACGTGAAGGTGGGTGGGTTCGTGAGAGGAGACAGAGGTAAAGCCTTGGATGGTGGATAGGGAGGCTTCTGCTGTGCGCTTCCATCAGCGGTGGGCCCATTCCAGCGTCTCATCTGGTTTCAGGGGATGCTTCCCGGGTGCGGAAGAACCGGCTCCTGAGGCTTCTGTCTCGAATGGTGCAGTGGGCAATGTGCGTTACCCTCTCTCACCTCGTGCAGAGGCCTTTCCTGCTCACATCACTGGCGCCAGGATTTGGGTTTTTCCTGCAAGTAAGAAAAGCCACAAAGATTTTTAAGTAGGAGATGACACATCCACTGAATGTAAAACAAAACAAAACGACTCCATTCTTCCCCAAATCACCACTGGCTACAGGTGGAAAATGGCATCAGAGAAGGGATGCCAATGGGAAGGATTAGCAACTATTAGCAACAGAGTCCAAACGATTCTGATTAATGGAAAAATCACTACAGGGTGCAAGTGGAGAGTGGCTTGTCCCAGGGTGTCCCTTCAGTTCTCTCGTCACATGTTCATAAATGATCCGTATTAATATGTGGATGACAAGCTTAATCTTAAGCATCTAAGAGGGGAGAGAGAGCAAGAGCCACAGATGCCATGGTGGGTTGGAGCAGTGAGCCCAATCTAGTGACGTGAAATTTAGCAGGAAAGTGTGTCAACTCCTGGGTCCAAAAAGCACAGAACTTGCACACACAACCTGAGTAAGCCTCGCTTCCCTTCCCAGGTTCTGAAAGAACTGAATGTTGAACACAGGAGTCAGAGATTTTTAAATGTCATCCCATTGGTAAAATCTATGTCTTAGTTGTGTGGCCAGACGAGCTTGCTAGCTGTGCCCACACTGAAACTACCCTTGGAAGCCCAGGCTTCTCCCCCAGGGCGACAGCAGGCGCCAGGGCACCCCTCAGCAAGCAGGACCATCTCAGGAAGAGGGGCTGAGCTGAGCAGATTCTCCTAAACCTCCCCATCACATCTGTCCCTGGGGAAGGAGGAGAGCGAGAGAGTGGTGGGCCGGAGGCCAGCACCAGCGCTCCAGGAAAGCTTCCACCTGGACATGAGAGGGTGCTGGGATGAAAGCCCCGCCTCCTGCCCTTCAGGAGAGGGAGACACACTCCAGCCACAGGTCTGAAGGCTGTATGTTAAGTTGAGGGCAGGCTGAATGTGGGTTGATGGCGTGTTTATTTCTCAACTATACAATACAAATACAGCCACAGACTGCATCAACTGGAAAGTACCATCTGGATTGGGGTTCGGCACACCGCAGTCCCTGGGCCGTGTCTGTCCCACTCTGTTTTATTTATTTATTTATTTATTTAATTAATTATATGGCTTATGACCTAAGAATGGTTATACATCTTTTTGATGGTTGAAAAAAAATCAAAAGAAGAATACCATTTCCTGACATGTGCAACTTATATGGAATTCAAATCTCAGTGTCCATAAACAAAGTTCTCTTGGAACACAGCCCGCTGTCTATTGTCTCACGGCTGCTTTCCCTCTGTTAGAGCAGATCCGAGTAGTTGGGACAGAGCCCAGATGGCGGGAAAGCCTGAAGTTCTGACCCTCTGACCCTCTGCAGAGGACTTGCTGATCCCCAATCGAGAATGAAGAAGTGGCCACGTTATTGAATGCTCTTCAGGTTGGGCCACACTCGGGACACTGTATCCTGACTCGGCATCTAATTGAGTGTGGAATGGGTTCAGAGAAGAGTGACTAGGACCACGAAGAGTGACTGGGATGGTGCAAACCAAGTCATGTGAGAACTGGTTGAGGGAATGTTTAATTTACATGGGGAAGGCACAGGGGAGCAATAGCTGCCTTCTAAGTTCATGCTTGTTAATTGTTTTGAATTCTTGGAGAGAATCATTCGGCAAAGGCAGTTATGTATGTAGTTATTTCAGAGGGCACGCTGACCTTGAGTCAGAACATGTGGCTTCAAGTTCAGACTTCTTGCTTTCTCTGGGTTTCAGTTTCTTCACCTCGAAGATGCTCACCAGATGACCAGGTGCACAGTGAATTAAGAGTCAGCTTTCACCTTAGAGGTGCTTTCAGGCCAGTAGGGGACACATCATGAACACACCTACCTGCAGCGTGGACGGAGTGCAGAAGGAGCCCCTGGGGGAGGGAGTCGTGCTGCTGAGGGGCTGCTGAGAATCAGGCCTGGAGAAGAAGTGGGATCCCGGCACCTTCAGCCCAAAGCATCCTGTGATTCTGTGAAAGATTTTAAGAATTGTCATACAGAAGAGGAATCAGACATGCTTCATGGCCCCAAGCAATAACGATTTAAATTGTGTTTACAGATCTGATCACATCAGCCTCTTGCTGAAAACCCTTGGGAGGCTTTCCTTGCTCTTCAGCTAAACTCAGCATCTCTCACAGCATCCAGAGGCCCTGCTGATCTGAGCCTGGCTGGCCGTCCTCGCATTCCTGGGCTCGTGAACTCTTGTCCATCCCCTGGGTCTCAGCGCCGCCTCTCATCCGATGCAGGTCTAGGTCAGGTTCCCATATTACCTCTGCTGACAGAGCCACATTTCTTTCCTCTGGGCCATTCCTCCGCTGTGCTTCAAACACACCTGGAGGGTTCATCTGTGGATTGCCAGGATAGTCCAGTCCGTCTTGTTCACAGCTGTAGCATCAGCTCTTGGCACAGTGCCTAGCCTGCAAAAGGAGCTTAATCTATATTCATAGAATAATGATAGACTTTGATCAGGAAAGAGAAACATTCCAGCAAAGGAAATGGACTCCCACAAAAAGGAGTGAGTTCCCGGAAGAGAGGTGTGTAAACACTGGTGCATGAGCAGATGGGGGGGAGGCTGCAGCAGGGACTCGGAAGAGTCTGCACCTGTGGTGCCTTTGCCATCACAAGCGCGGTCTCGTGGCTTACAGTGTTTCATTTTGTTCCAACTGTTGATCTCTACCATTGGGGAGACTTTTGGGGATCTAAGTAATATGAGGTCCTGCAACTAGAAAATGGCAGAGTGAAGACAGAGTCCCAGGCCTGTTTTGCCAAACCAGTTGTCTGTGCCCATCCAGGGAGCCTGCCTGGCTGGTTGGAGTGATCTGGGATTTCCCAGGAAGGAATTACCTTGCTCTCCAATGGAAGCTTACCCAACTTACAGCTTCTATGTTATAACAGTTGGGTGGGTTTTCAAATCCCTCCACACAATCAGACAAATAAACTTACACCTTGTAACATGATGGGTTGCATTTAACACTCCTAAAGATGTGCCCAGTAAATGAAAAAAACAAAAGCAACTGAGCTCTGATATTATTACACACACCCGCACACACAGTTCTCTCAGTGTTTGGCAAGGAGCAGTTTCCTGTTGTGTTACCGACACTCCTGGTTTCACAGGAGCCCTGTGTAACACAGGCCCGGTGCTGTGGGGGTTGTGCTCAGGGCTTAAGCAGGCTACATGGCGGCTGCAGCTGAATGTCTCACTGGTCCTGACTTTCAAGATAAAAACTTGCACTTGGTGGTTCTCTTTCTCAGTGATACTGATCTTGTAGTTGTCGGTTATAGTACTTTACTAAGTTAGAACACTGTCCTTTCTTGAGCAGAACTAATACCTGAAACACAAAAGCATAGAAAGTCTTTTGACTTCACCTTTTCAAAGATTTATTGAGGGTATTTTTTCTGAATATTTCTCCCATATGAAAACAGTGGACCTATGGTTCTGCAAGAACCAAGACCATTCAAACGCAGTCTCTCACACGGCTGTGCGGACCCTTCAGAAATCTCTAACGGTCCTCCAGCGCTCCGAGCATTCAGAAACCTTGAGGCCTAAGGACGTGAGCTGCTCGGCTATCACTATTTGCATATTGCTTACTTTATTCGTTAATGGATGATATTTTGCTTAATTCTTGTGCCTCTGAGTTTCTCACACTGACCTCTGAGAGAGGACCCACTGGGGAATGGAACTCTGCCTGCCACCTGGGCATCATCGGGCTTGTGTTATCCTGTGTCCTGGCCAGACCCAGGACCAGGGTGTGCTGACCCCGGGGAGCGCGTCGTGGCGCTGTGGGCCTGGGTGAGCTGACCAGGGGCCTTTCCTGATGGGAAGGCATCACACCACCAGACCGCGAGCTCCCTGAGGGTAGGCTGGGTGTCTGTCTTTTTCTAATCCTCACTCGAGGATATGTTTTTATTGATTTTTTTTTTTTTTTTTTTTTTAGAGAGAGAGAGAGAAAAGGGGAAGAGAGAGACAGAAACATTGCTTGGTTGCCTCCTGTACTTGCCCTGACTGGGGATGGAACCCACAGTCTTTTGGTGTGTGGGATGATGCTCCAACCAGCAGGCCGGGACAGCCTGTGTGTCGTTCTCGTCACTGCACTGCCTGCCAGCTCAGTGCCCAGCCCACATGGAAGAAGTGGGAACAAAGGGTAAGGAGCAGGGAAAGATCTTGCAGGCCCTTTCCTGCCCGCTTAGCCTCAGTTTACCCCTCTCTGCAGCACTTCCTTCCTTGATCAGAATTACTTAAAAGGAGTAGTGTTTTTCAAAGGGAGTAGTGTTCCGTGACAGCTCAGAAAAGTGTGAAAAGTGTAACTCACACCTCTGACGTGCCTGTGTCCTGCCCTGTGCACCACCCCGCCCTTCCTCGGCTCTGGCCGCAGGGAGAGGTACAGCTGTCTGGGAATGGCCTCCTCCCCACCCCTCTCTGTTTGCTTCCTAATCCTTCTGTCTCTCTGGCTATTCTTTCTTCCATCTCCTGATAATTAACCATAATATGGCATTGCAGCAGATAGGCATAAATTTAGTATTTTTTACCTTAAATTTTCTTAACAAGGTGATTTTAATGCATGTATATATCCTCATTCTCTCTGCTGTCTCAGACATTGAAATTAAACTGCCTTTTAGGTGAGGCCTAATTCCCCCTCCGTGGCCCACTCTGTAGCTCTTGATCCACCATCTCTGCTTCAGGAGAAAGTCCCCGCCGGGCAGGTAGCAGTGCCCCGGGCACTGCTGTGCTGTGTAAGATTGGGAGAAGGAGCAGGGAGGACAGCAGAGGTGGTGAAGGGCTTGGACAGACTGGAAGTTCCGGAGACCAGCCAGGCGACGTTTCCATGAGAGGAGCCTGGGGCTCCCAGTGAGTCTGCTGTCGGCATGCTCACCCGGTTTCCGGCTCTTCAGTCTTTTAGTTTTGTTTTCAGGTTTCTTTCTTTCTTTCTTTTTTTTTTTTGGTTTCCTGTTTGAATTATTTCACTTTGGTACATTTTAGAGAACGGAAAAAATTCTAAGTAGAATTTCACCACAAAAAACAGTGGCGTTTTTTTTTTCCCAGTTCTAGTCGGTGGCCTCATGTACCATGTGTCATCTGAGGTCACAGATCAGACTGTAGTTTCAGATAGCCACGTTGTTGATTTCGGGAGGTTCTGGGAATTGCTCAAGGGTCCTTACTTAAGTATTACTTCTGATAGAGTGGGTGGGGGTCTCTGGTGATTGGGGGAATGTATGAGACCATCCGCTTTCTAATAGAATAGAAATGCACGGTGCTTATATAGCACCCCATTTCAGCCACCACCCAAGTGATCCAGTCCAAAAGGATTAAACAGAAATTTCAATTTTTGTCGCTTGATGAACATTAAAGAGGGTCAGATCCATATCCCGGCAGTGCGTCTGTTTCCGCACCTCCTCAGAACCCTAACCCTCACTTTCAGGGGATTCTCCATCGCCAGCGCCTCCTGCCCCCCACTCCCTTTATTCCCTGCCCCCGTTCTGGCTCCTCTCTTTATCAGGTGGAACATCTGGACCCCTGGTGGTGGAGCTTCTCTCCCTTCCAGCTCGTCCAGTCCGCATCCTCCGGGGCCAGTTCCGTTCGGCAGAGGGCGTCTTCAGGGTGTGGGGAGGGACGGTGGGCTGATAGTTGCTGGATGCTCCACAGCAGGCTGGCAGAGGGGCCCTGGTGAAGACTCTGATATGGAAAATTTGATTTGCTCTCATCTCTACGTGGGGAAATGAGATTTGACTCGGGATCATCAAAGTTGGGGTCATGGTAGTGTTTGCCAGGCCCCGCATTGATGGTGTTCTTGGTCTGCCTTTTTTGACTTGTCATCCAGTTATTGACACATGCAGGAAAAAAAAATTAAATTCCTTTTCTAAAGGCTTTATTCCACTGTTGTGGCAAAGCTGACTTGAAGATTTCCTCGCTCTGTAATTCCGAGACAGGACAACCTGGTGATGAGGCTCACAGGTTTCGGCATCTTCGAATTCTAGCTTGACCACTTGTTCAATCTCTCCCCCTCACAAATTTTCTCATTATATTTTATTATTTCTTTTTTCTTTTGGTTAATCCTCACCCAAGGATATTTTCCCATTGGTTTTTTTTTTTTTTTTTTTTTTTAAGATAGATTGGAAGGGAAGGAGAGAGAGAGAGAGAGACATTGATGCGAGAAAGACACATCGATTGGTTGCCTCCTACACAACCCTGACCAGGGCCGGGGACCAAACCACAACCCAGGTATGTGCCCCAGACCAGAACCAAAACTGGGTCCCTTTGATTCGCAGGCTGATCTAACTGCTGAGCCAAACCAGCCAGGGCCAGTTTTCTCATTTTAAAAATAAAAGTGATTAGAGTGATAGCAATACAAATGACATTGACCGTTTACTGGGCATTTCTAGGATGCATGGCCAGAATGCCCAGCGCTGTCCCAGCATTTTCTTCAACCATCACAACCACTCTGAGAGGCAGCTGCTGCCAGGACTGCTATGTACTGTTTTCCTCTCAGGGTTAAGGAACAAGCTTAGGGGGATGAAGTCCCTCATGCAGCGTCTCTGCAGGGCCGGAATGGGACGCATACCATGGAGCTCCAGAGCAATGAGATATCCCTGCACAACTCTCAGCATAGGGTCTGACATAGAGCAAAAGCTCAGACTGCTTTAATCATCAGTGAAGCCATACTTTTTCCTATTAAATCATTGTACTTCCTCTTCTTCAACTTGGAGGCCCCTCCTGATAACATTATCTGTGAGCACCTTGGGATCTTCTGTGATTTGCGGTTGGTGTACCTACCAGGAAGGGGCTCTTCTGTCAGATCCTTGAGATCGGGGATGTGGCTGTGTGGCCAGGCCAGGGCTGCAGGGAGTGAAGGGAGCATCCTGTGCACACGTGACTTCGTGGGTCCACCCCTACATGCTCGTCGGTTCCTAAACCAGCCCCCACAATAGCCCTGGCTTGAGTCATTTGACCAAAAACTGTGGGCACGTTAGGTAGAGGGCAGTGGGATTTCAGGCTTGTGTTCTAGGGTTGCCTGGGCAGGAGGTATTGAGCCTCATGTGATTTTTCTGATAAGTTGTTACTATCACCCTTTCTTGGGTTGTAGACAGGGTTTCATTTTGAAGATAAGGGCAGGAGGCTAGGGAATGTATGTGTGTAGGAGCTGGGAGAACCACGGTCTGCAGTGGGTCCTGCTGGAGGCCCTGGGTGCCGCAGAGAAAGCCTCATGCTCAGGAGAAGGCCCTGGTTTGGGGTCTCAAATCAAATACCCTTGTGGCCAAATAGTGACTTAAAGGAATGCAGCGGGTTGAATAGATTCTGTGTCCAATGAGAGCAGTGCCCCATCGAGGACGGCAGCCAGGCCCCAGACTGCAGGCTCTCCAAGTCCACATACCGGTGAGCACCACCCAGTGGGAAGTAGGCAGGTGCTCCGAAAGGCTCCTCACAGAGGAGGAAATGCAGACTGCAGTGACCGTTAGAGCTGGTTGGGATTCAAGGAACTAGGTGCTCTAGTACGCGGGGTGGGAGTGTTAATTGGCAGTGTTTTGGAAGGCCCTTGGGTAACATCTGTCAAAACTAAAAATGTGCACATCCTTTACCCAGAGTTTCCTTTTCTTGAAATTATCCTAAGACCTGTCATGAGCCACAAGGACTGTTGGAGAATGTTTGTCTCAGCAATGTTTGTTAAGTGGAAAATGGAAACAAGCAAATGTTTATCATTAGGCGGTGATTACAGAGGTGATAGTCTGTTTTCATACTGCAATGTTATGCATTCTTAAAGAATAATGTAGCTCTGGCCAGTGTGGCTCAGTTGGTTAGAGTGTCGTACCATGCACCAAAGAGTCATGGTTCTGATCTCTAGTCAGGGCAAATGCCCAGGTTTCAGGTTTGATCCCCAGTTGCGATGCATATAGGAAGAAACTGATCAATGTTTCTCTCACATCAATGTCTCTGTTCCTCCTTTGCCCCCCCCACCCCACTCCCCGCCCGTCGAATCAATGAAAAACATATTCTTGGGTGAAGATTTAAAAAAAAAAAGAATAATGTAGATCTATATGTGGTGATATAAAATGATGTTCAACTTACAATTTGATATGCTGTTGATATGAAGAGAAAAAACAAACTAAAATCTTGTGCAATATTTATTTTTGTAGAAAATGTTTATGACTACAATAGGAGAAATTATGTATCACAGACAATATTCTAGTTCTTACATGAATTTAAGGACTTACTAAAAATATTTGCATATACCAGAATTTTCAAAGTTGGGAAATCAGACCGAATTAATAAAAGTCTAAAATATAGATGTAAAGGCAGTATGGCTCTACATTTTAAACAATTCTTAGAAAGTTTCACTAAATTTATAGATGGGAGTAAGTCTATAATGAATAGCTAATCAATTCTAAACAATAACATCTATGTTTGAAAATAATGTCCTGTTAAGTAATAAAATAAAAATAATATGTATTTTTATTTTTTGGTAACTTTTTTTGTTTCTTCATCTCCTGGTAAATTCTTTATTGAGAGTGTAAATGCACATCAAAGATGATAAAAAATGCTAGAAGTGTAGATTCCAAACTGTTGAGGCTTTTACTATGTTAATCACTGGAATTTTACTAAACCCAGTACTGTGGAGGAAACTATGTCACAATGAACCCCAGGAGGTTTGGCCATCGTTCAGAAATTCTCTTCCTCATTTTACATGCTCAAACATAATATCATTAGGAATCTCCTGCACTTAGTAAAATATTGCAAGTCCCCCATGTGAGCTTTCCCGGCCTGGTAAGTTTCCCTCTTGTCAAATCAGGAATGGGAGTGTGCACCATCGCAGCACATCTGTCTCCATCTCACCACCCTGCTTTAAGGGCTGCTTGCTGGAAATGATGTCTGCACCTGCTGTTTGAGCCACCCGTTCCATGTGGTCAGGTGATGCCACATGGTATGGCCTGTTTTGATTTAAAAATATCAACATGGGCAGAGGTGGATGGTGACAGCATCACTGGAGGCCCCTGGTGTGGTTGCCCCCCACCCCCCACCCCAGTGTGTTCAGTGCCCAGCAGAATCCCTGGCATCGCTCCTGGATTCAACAGATATTCACCACAGGATGGTGCACTGTGCTGGTTCTTAGATCATTTTATTCCGTCTTTCCCCAGTGAGGTCAGTATTTTACCCCTATGTTACAGGAAAGACAGTCAGGGTAAGAGAAGGTGGGTTTCCCAGCCACACAGCTAGATTAGTAGGAGAAGCAGCTTTGAGTTCAGGGGTGAGGGATTCAGGAACCCACACTCTATGTTCACTCTTCCTCTTGAATTTTGGGAACAAAGATATTCTTATATATGACACTGATTATAGGAGAACTAGACGTTTCTTTAATTTTTCAGATTGAATTTTTGAATGTTTTAAAAAATGTTTATGTAAATCAGCCATAGACCCTAAAATTATCCAGTGTATCTTCTTTTAATTTATTGCATAATATTTTCCCCCTTAAACAAAGTAGACTTGTGTAATGGTAATGTGATTTTTTTTCAATTACATTTTTTTTTAGGAAATGACCAAGTTCACTCCTGGATACTAGTCACCAGCCACGCCTTAGATATTGCGTGGGGAATAGCAAAGGGGTCCGTGATGGTGGCGGTTTCCTTTCTGGTGGCCACCCTCTGCTACTTCAGAAGGCTGCATTTCCATTTAGGGCACCGGCTGAAATGGTAGGTGGTTGTATCATCTTCAAATTTCTAAAATACCCATGTGATGAAGGTAGAATTTTGGTATTATTGTTTTCTTTATCTTTTAGGTGGAGTGGATATCTGCAAAGAAAATTCAAAAGTAAGTATTTTTGTGTGTATCTTTCCTTATTTTTCAGGGGCAGAGAGGGTTCAAGAAAGAAGAGGAAAGGAAAAATTAACTACCTTTTATTTATTTATTTTATTTGATTCAGGGAACCTCAGTGTGGAGGCAGAAGTGGATTTACTCAGCTATTGTGCAAGAGAATGGACAGGGGACACGCCCCGTGCCAAGCTGATGAGGAAGGTGTGTCTGTTTGTAAAAGTCATGGAAGATGGAGAATTTTGTGAAAAATTCAGGAAACAAACATTCCCTTCTGCTTTATGGATCCAGAGATACAATGTGACACAAGGAACAACTCTGGCTCTAATTTAAAAGCCAAACAGTTGCTAAACTTTGGCTTTGGGCCTTTTACCTAGAGCCAGTTCCTGGAGGACCGGGTGAATTCAGTCTGTGATTTCAGAGAGCTGGAAGTCAGCTCTTTCCAGCCCTCCTGGCCAGGCCTGTTCAACCTCTGCACAAGCAGGGGAGACTCCTGTCCTTGAAGGGAGAAGGTCCCTTGGCAAATATATTTTGAGGACTTTTAAGATTTTTCATTGGATCAGTCTTGGTAAATATTCCCAGAAGTGCTGCCCAACCTTGTCATCAGCAAAAGAAGAAAAAAAAAAAAAAAAAAAAGAATTAAGTGGTGACTTTAAAGTAGTTCTGAGCATGGTTTTAAGGTGTACAGAATTTTTTACTGTGATCAGGCTGTATTCATGACCTCCCCACAGGGACATTCCCTGGCCCTGGGCTTCCAGGAACTAAGCCTCTGGAAGAGCATGGCACCATCTCTCTACACTCACAGTCACTTTGAAATGACATGTGGTCCAGTGCACAATTTATCATTGTTTTTATTTCTGTTGTCTGCTTTATTTGGTAGTATGTGTCACTGAAAATTTATTGAATTCACTTTCCTTAATTTCTCATCCAGCGGACTTAAAAAGCAACCGTTCTCTTTTTGTGCTAATAGGCTTATGAGGAGCTGTTTTGGCGGCGTCACATTAAGTGTGTTCGACAAGTGAAGAGAGATAACTACGATGCACTAAGATCAGTGTTATTTCAGATATTCAGCCAGGGCCTCTCTTTTCCATCCTGGATGAGAGAAAAAGACATTGTTAAGGTATGTCCTCGCACTGGGAACACAGGAGAGGCACCTTGATGACAACTGGGACACAGGCGCTCGGGGCTCCGTTGGGCGGCGGCTCCGTACATAGGGCGCCTGAGATGGAAGGCACTCCGAGAGGTCCTTTCTCCAGGGCGGCTTCTCTCCTGTCAGTTTGCACATAGACCATCTCAGAAAGACAGTTATACTCAATTTTGTTTTTAATGCCACCATCTTTTCTTGAGAGGGGCATCTGTCCTTTATAGGTAAGGTGGTCTGCTAAGCTTTTTTTTACTCTATGGTTGTTTCCACAAATACAGTGTGTAACTACTACCCCAAAGATCCCCTTGTTTTTCCTCAGTCAGACCTTCTCTCATTCCTAACCCCAGCGCCACTGAGATGCCTTCTGTCTCTGTAGTTTAGCCTTTTCTAGAATGTCACAGAAGGGGACTCATCCAGTGTGTGGCGTTTGGAAGCTCGGGCTTTCACTTAGCGTGGTGCATTTGCTTTCACCCAGAGGGTTCTGTGAATACGTTGTTAATTCCTTTTTATTGTTGAGTGTTGTTCCTTGACATGAATGTGACAGCTTGTTTATCCATTCACCAGCGGGAGGACATTTGGATTTTTTCCAGTGTATAATACTGTGAATAAAGCTGTTACAAATATTCCCATACAGGGTTTTGTATGAACATAAGTTTTCATTCCTTTTGGGTGGGACTGCTGGGTCTTATGGTATGTGCGCGCTTACTTTATAAGAACCTACCCAACCATTTCCCAGAATGGCTCTGCCCAGCGCGAACGTGCCAGAGTTCCAGGTGCTCCACATTCCCACCAGCACTTGGTAGTGTCAGAGTTTTTTGTTTATTTATTTTTGTTTTAGGCATTCTAATAGGTGTGCATTAGTATCATTGTGGTTTTAGTTTGCATTTCCCTGATGAGTTATGATGTTGAGCATCTTTTCCTGTGCTTGCTTGCCATCCATATTATCTTCTCAGAGAAATGTCTTTTTAAATCTTTTGCCCATATTTTATTGTTTTGTTTTTGTTATTGTTATTGATTGAGTTTTGAGAATTCTTTATATATTCTGAATGCAAGTGCTTTATCATATATGTAATTTACAGATATTGTCTCCCAGTCTGTGCCTTGTTTTTTCATTTTCTTAACAGCATAAGACAGTGCCTTCTTGGTGATAACCCGGATTTTTTTTTTTATCCTCGCCCGAGGACACTTTTCCATTTTTTGTTCAGGTAGAATGGGAGGGAGAGAGAGGAGGAACAGAGAGAGAGAGAGAAACATCGATGTGAAAGGAACACATTGAGTGGCTGCCGCCCGCACAACCGACCAGGGCTGGGGACAAACTGCAACCGAGGTACACGCCCTTAGCGGGAACCGAACCCGGGTCTCTCAGGACTGCAGGCCGACACTCTAACCGCTGAGCCAAACTGGCCAGGGCCCGGATTTTTATTTTGAGTGCAGTATGCCTAATCTAGGATGTACATTTAAGTTGGAAGAGCAAAGAAATACAAAGTGTGTGCTTATATATAGCTATACATGTTCAATTTCCGTAACATTTTAAGTTTTGAGTTGTTTTTATTACTTTCATCTTATCTAGCAAATACTGGACAGGACTGTGCAGTGTGCTGGCTTTGCTATTCTTTGCTGAGGACAGAGACTGCACCGGCTGCACAAGTTGGACTGGGTGGGAAATGCATGGGATGCCTGTGGTGGGTCAGACTCTTACGTATCCCATAATCTTATTTAACCCAACAAGCGTCCTGTAAAATTGTCCTTGATTTACAGTGGAGGATGAGGCTGAGCAGTGAAATAGTCTGCTGGTGAGTGACAGGGCTGGGTTTGAACCCCCACATGCATCATTCTAAAGTCCACATCGTCCCAGATATATGTTGCTCTAGCATAGGTTAAAAGTAAGCTCTAAAGGGACATCTCTTGGTAGTTTGGAAAATGTTTTATCCAAAAAGATTGTTTCTATAGACTTAATCTTATATTTAAGTTTTCATCAGTTTTGAAATTGTGAATTAAGAATATGGCTCAGGGGTTGAGCATCGACTCATGCACTAAGAGGTCACTGGTCCCATTCCCGGTCAGGGCACATGCCCAGGTTGTGGGCCCAATCCCTAGTGGGGAGCATTCAGGAGGTGGCCAGTCGATGTTCTCTCTCATCAATGTTTCTATCTCTCTCTCCTTTTCCCTTCCTCTCTCTCTAAAATTAATTTTTTTTTAATAATTTAAATTTTATTTTTTATTTTTTTATCCTCACCCGAGGAATTTTTCCATTTTTTTGTACAGATAGAGTGGGAGGGAGAGAGAGGAAGGGAGAGAGAGAGAGAAACATCGACGTGAAGGGACACATCGAGTGGCTGCCACCCACACAACCAACCAGGGCCGGGGACAAATTGCAACCGAAGTACGTGCCCTTAGCGGGAACCGAACCCGGGTCTCTCCGGACCACAGGCCGACGCTCTAACCGCTGAGCCAAACTGGCCAGGGCTAAAATTAATTTTTTAAAAAAGAATATGACTATGTTTTTTATTAATTGTGGTCATAGTCTTTTTTTTTTAAATATGTTTTTATTAATTTTTTAGGGGGGGAGAGAGAGAGAAACATCCATGTGAGAGAAACATCAAATGACTGCCTCCTGCACACCCCCTGCTGGGGATCGAGCCCGAGACCCTGGCATGTGCCCTGACCGGAAATTGAACCAGGACCTCTCAGTCCATGGGATGATGCTCAATCCACCCAGCCACACTGGCCAGGCGGCCATAGTGTTTTTAAATGAAGATTGCTAAATGAGATGAGATTATGTGCTATGACATCTTCTAAATTGTGTGTAATAATTGTGTCTAACCATTATTGGCATCTTCCTTTTCAAGCTTCCTGAAAAACTGCTCTTTTCACAAGGTTGTAATTGGATCCAGCAATACAGTTTTGGTCCTGAGAACTACACAGGTTCAAATGTGTTTGGAAAATTGCGTAAATGTGTGGAATTATTGAAAACACAGGTAAGTGTTTGGCAACTGGGGTAAGAGGCTAGGAGTGAAAGCATCTGTCCCAAATGCAGCCACTTTTCTCTGATGTCAGGCATATCACTTTATGTGAGTTAAGCAGAAAATGCAGGCAGAAATGCTGCTTCCAGTAACTGATGGTTCCTTCTTGACCTTCAGTCTCCTTTGAGTGATGACTGAGCAAGAGTAGTGTTGTTCTACATGGTAGTTAGGCCCTTTGTGGGCTGAGGAGCCCTTTGTGGGCTAGCCAGGAAACCTCAACAATCATGGACCTTTGTTTCCCCAAAAAATGAAGTGAAGTTCCAGACAAGGTGTTCAGAAATGCCCTTCTGGAATGCTCCCTCTTTATAACTTGTTTACGGCAAAGATGTTATAATTTGACTCAGAGCTTTTCCTGTCTTTGAGTAAAAACAGATTTTGGATTGTTGGAGTGAATTCTCCTTGAGAAACACCATGACCTTTCTGGGCCATAGATTTCTTATCTGTAAAAGTGAAATATAAATAGTGTCTACCCTGTACGGTTCTTGTGAGGATTCAGTGAGATGACACACGCAGAGTGCCTTCCGCCGAGCCTGGCACCGGCTGCACTGGAGAGTGCTCACTAGCACCGCTGGCCACTGGAACAGCCCTTGTGGAAACCAGCCATCTTAGAACACGTTGTTGACCCTCACGAGGTAACTCGTGCTTGCACTTGCATTAGCTATTTCAATGTTTGAAACTCAGGGTAATACAGGATTATTATATTTGTGACTCTTCACCCTGAGGGTCGAAGTTCAAAAAACAGCACACCATTCTATAGTCTTGACATAGCAGGTAATGGATATCTGCTGGTTCAAATGAGTGCAGCTCAGAACCCAACACTCTGGTCCTTCTAAAAGAGCTCCTTACGCCGATTCACCTTTCAGGCTTTCAGGGCAACTGAAAGACCACGTTTTGAAAAAATAGTCACTGGTATAAAAAAAATCCGACTAGAACATGTAAAGTGTGTGTTTCAGAAGGTGATTGCTTAAAGTATACCACAGCAAAAAAAAAATACTAAAATATATCATATGTATAAAATATAATATGTAGCAGATATGTACAAAGTTTCATTTATATGCATTATGTATAAATAAAGTATACTGAAGTTTATTTAGATTGTTTCACTTTCATACGCAGTTACGAAAAAATAACCAGTGACATGAGGTAACTTCTGCATAAAATTGCTGGTCAATGTGTTAAACAGGGTTAGAAAGCTGTCTTAGTATTTTACCTGGTGGGTGGTGCTTTGGTGAAGAAATTTCTCATGAAACTAATTTGTTATTGTAAAAATAATATATACTTACGGTTTAAAAAATCTATGTCCAAAGATATAAAGTGAAAAGTTAAAGTTTCATTCCCCTCTATTAGTTTTATTTTGTAAGTTCTTTAAAAGTTATGCAGTGTTGTGTGTGCTCACCTGTGCCCTTCTAAGTTTCACATTTTTGTCTGTTTTTAGTGGACTGAATTCAGTGCAATTAAAGATTATCACAAGAGAGGAAGTATGTGCAACATCCTCTTCTCGGATGCCATTCTGGAGTATAAACTGTATGAAGCTCTCAAGTTCATCATGCTCTATCAAGTCACTGAAGTTTATGAACAAATGAAGATGAAAAAGGTCATTCCCAGTCTTTTCAGACTCCTGTTTTCCCGGGAAACATCATCTGATCCTTTGAGCTTCATGATGAATCACCTAAATTCTGTAGGCGACACATGTGGACTAGAGCAGGTACCTGGGGCAGAGAATCGTGTGTGTTGGATCAAGGAGGGTGTTGACAATACATGGACACGTAGGCTCTTGGGGTTTGCTTTCAGCAGGCATAAGACCAGCTGCATAGAGTGATGGGTTGATATTATTGCCCCGAAATGCGGAAATGAGGAGTGACAAGCCTCGCTGCTCCGGGCTGGTTGCTGTGTGTGTTTCCAGACCTGTGTCTGGAGAACACCAGTGCTGGGCAGCCTATCTGACCTTGCATGCTGCCTCTCAGTTGATAGCAGGTTTTCCCACAACAGAGGTTAACCAGGAGAAATTCCAGTTGGAAAATGAGATAAGGTTTGAAAAAGCATTTGGTGACTTACTGCACATAAGTAGAAATTATTGAATTTTTTTAAATCTAGAAAATGCTTAATATCCCCATAGAAAAGGTTTTGTTTTGTTTTATTTGCATTCATAGGAGGTAGACAAAATCATCTGAACTTTTTATACAAATTGATTTATAACAATATAAAAGCGATTAGAAAACTCTGTAATTTTTATTATGAGCATTTCTTTATTTTTTATTAGTTTTTTTTTTCAAACAGCTTTCCCTGTGATTTCTTCATGTTAGTTTAGAGTGATGTTCCTCTGTTTGTCCCCTGCCTCCCATGTATGGACATTTGTCCCTAACTCTGTGCCCACTCAGTGGTTCATGTGTGGGTCTATAAACAAGTACGTTATTTCACAGGCTGCTGAAGAACATACTGCCCCCACTGGTGGGAGGGCAGGAATTTGGAAATGTGTATTTGTGACCTTTCTTTCATCTCTTCCCCAGATTGATATGTTTATACTTGGATATGCCCTTGAAGTCAAGATAAAAGTGTTCAGACTGTTCAAGTTTAATTCCAGGGACTTTGAAGTCTACTACCCACAGGAGCCACTCAGGGAGTGGCCAGAGATCTCCCTGCTGACTGAGAATGACCGCCACTACCACATTCCTGTCTTTTGAGTCTGGCGAGGACCAGGCACCTGCCAATGACAGTGGTCACACTTGCAAGTAAAGTGTTCCTGGAAAACCAAAGCTAGTGTTGCAGCCACTGAAGGAATTAGGACCTTCTCCGAACTACAGGTACACAAGATGCAACAGTGCACAGGTGGCTTTTCTTTGTCTTTCAGTGATTTCCTCCAGAGCAGCTGCACTAATATATTTGTGGGCTTGTGGTTTGACCTTGTTCATAAAGGCCCTGGCCACTTTACACATGGCGGGACTTGAAGAGCATGAGAATGTTTAATTTGGACAAGAACAACAACAGGAAAAAAGAGAGAAGGAAATTCATAGGAAAAAAGACCAACCTAGAAAGAATGAATTTGTTTTTAACTTTTACGTTCTTCATTAAGAATCATATCTTTGGTTGATTTTGGAGCCTCATAAACATGGTCTTATTTTATAAGCATTACCTTCCCAGGAATCTATGGTATATCGATTTTCTAGACCCAGTTGATTAACTGTAAATTATGGGTGCATGTACACACACACACCCGTATGTATACATGTATAGTTTTACATATACACATACACACAAAAAACCACTACTTTGTAATGTTGTACAATGTGTTTTATATCTCCTTACATTTTCTTTTTACATTTTTTATTGTTGCATCTGGCCAGTTTAATACATTTTATATAGATAAAAAATAAATTTTGTACATTTACGAACTGAATGACAATTATTGAAGTGTTATGAAAATATTAAATTGTTATAATTGTTATACATTTAATGTGTAGTGGATAGAATCAGGCCCCAGATTCTATCATGTCCCAGAAAGCTGTTACATCCTAATCCCCAGGACCTGTTGGGTTAAATGGCAAAAAGGATAATAAAGTTGCAGGTGGAATTAAGGTACTAATCTTCTTACCCTGTTATGGGGAGATTAGTCTGGGTTCCCCAAGTGAATCCAATATAATCACAAGGGTGCCTAAAAGCGGAAGAGGGAATTGGAAGAGTGTCCAAGTCAGAGGGAAATGAGAAATCTGGAAGGACAATAGAGAGAGACGCCACACGCTGGTGTTGAAGACGGAGGAAGGAGCTGCCAGCCCAGGAGTGCGGGCAGCCTCTGGGAGCTGGGACAGGCAAGGGGATGGACTCACCCTGGAGCCTCCAGGAAGGAACAGTGAGACCCGGGCCAGACCTCTGACCACTCAGGGGAACTCATTTTTGGTCATCTTTATTTTGGAAATACTTCTCTAGTTTACTTTGGTAATTTTATTTTGGAAGTACTTTACTAATCTGTTGTAAATTTCACTAACTACAAAATAACTTTTCAAATCTTGGCTAATGATGTACTGGCTTCCTTAATGTGTTTGAGGCTTACATTTTCATATAGTTTCTACTATAAATAAAAAAAGAGGTATGTTAAATGCTGTGGTGCATGAAAATGACACTGACTCTTTAATGGGGATAGTCACCTGCATGTACTACATAAGCCAGGTGTCTAATCGTACGTTGTGTTCTGCCTGCTGTCACTTTGTTTTCTTGTTGGAGAGTAATGAGCTCAGACCAAGGGGCTTTGCATTGCCTCGAGAGCCACACAAACAAAATAGAACTCAAGTTCTTCATTGATCTCTGCAATCCTTTCTTGGTCGGAAGTGTCTGTGGTTTTGCACAACCCCTGTCATTTAATTGACACGGTTGGAAGTTATCCCCATGAGTCATTACAGTGACCTAGAAAAATGCACTCTACCCCATGTGTTGACAGCAGACATGATGAGAGCCTGCAGCAGGCTGTGACTGACACTCCTACCTTGCTGCTTCGGGCTCCTGGCTCCACTGGAGCTGTCCAGGCGGCTACCTGGCACGTGTACGCTACCCCTCGCCCTGCGTCTCCTCACCCAGTGTAATGATTTCCACGTCAGTCCAGGATTGGAAGGGAGACCTTTTCCATGGGGACCGACAGCCTGCGGCTCTGTGACATAGCCGCCCACTATGACTATCCTGAACTGTGTGTTGGGGGACAGGGTAGAGTGGGGCAAGAATTATTTAAGTAGAAGGGCAAGACCAAATTGTGAAAATAGGACATTTCAACACAGTGAAAGGAAAAAGTAAAGAAGACCTTTAAATAGTTGCTATTTTGGAGAAAGCGTCAAAACAGGATTTTAGGGGAGGAGATATTGGGTGTTTTTGTTCTGTTTTGTTTTTAAATCAGTTGTATGTTGAATGTAACAAACTAATTAGAATGAACTGCGTATAAATTAGCACCACTTTTAAATAAATGCCAACAATAAATTGGAGGTGAATTGTCTGTGTGATGCCAACATTTAGTGTCTTTCTAACCTTATTTGTTTTAAATGATGAGGGAATTATGGCAAAATGAAAACATATGCCCTTGTTTTTTTCAGATTTTAGAATGTTTCTCTCAAATTTTGGGCACATGTGTCCATACTGAGGGGTTGTGTGAATATTAGTACAAGACTGATTTTTCTTATTGTGGTAAAATATACATAACATAAAATTTACCATTTTAACCATTTTTAAATATACGGTCAGTGGTGCCCTGGCCGGTTTGGCTCAGCGGTTAGAGCGTCGACCTGCGGTCCTGAGAGACCCGGGTTCGGTTCCCGCTAAGGGCGCGTACCTCGGTTGTAGTTTGTCCCCGGCCCTGGTCGGTCGTGCGGGTGGCAACCACTCGATGTGTCCCTTTCACATCGATGTTTCTCTCTCTCTCTCTGTTCCTCTCTCTCCCTCCCAGTCTACCTGAACAAAAAATGGAAAAATGTCCTCCGGTGAGGATAAAAATATATATATATATACAGTCAGTGGCATTAAGTACCTTCACATTGTCATGCAGCCCTCACCACCACCCATCCTCAGAACTTTGGTTATCTTCAAGACTGACTTTTTTTGATAGGAGGCAAATTTAATTCCCCCTACCTGGTACTTGGATTTTCTTTAAAACATTTTTTATTGATTTTTTTTTTTCCAGAGACGGAAGGAGGGAGGGAATGAGAGAGAGAGAGAGAGAGAGAGAGAGAGAGAGATTAATTTGTTTGTTATTCTACTTATTTACTCATTCATTGGTTGATTCTTGTATGTGCCCTGACCAGGGACTGAACCTGCAACCTTGGCATATTGGGACGATGATCTAACCAACTGATCTACCTGGCCAGGGCTGGATTTTTTTTTTTTTATATACTTATCTTTATTGTTGAATGTATTACAGATGTCTCCCCTTTTTTCACCCATTGACTCCCTCCTCCCACTCCCACCCCCTCCTGCCTTCCCCACACTGTTGTCTCTGTCCATTGGTTACGCATATATGCATGTAAGTTCTTTGTTTTTATCTCTTCCCGCTGCCCCTCCCCCCTTCCCTTTGAGGTTCCTCGGTCTAACAACCAATTTGTACTTTTTTTTTTTTTTTTTTATCCTCACCCGAGGACATTTTTTCATTTTTTGTTCAGGTAGAGTGGGAGGGAGAGAGAGGAACAGAGAGAGAGAGAGAGAGAAACACCGATGTGAAAGAAACACATCGAGTGGCCGCCATCCGCACGACCGACCAGGGCCGGGGACAAACTGCAACCGAGGTACATGCCCTCAGCGGGAACCAAACCCGGGTCTCTCAGGACCGCAGGCCAATGCTCTAACCGCTGAGCCAAACCGGCCAGGGCCAATTTGTACTTCTTAATCCCTTCACTGTTTTTGCCCATCCCTGGATTTTTTTTATTACTATTATTATTGTTTTCCTTTTCACACTATCTTTATATCATGTCCTTCTAATCTGAGTATTTCTTTCAGGCTTAGAAGATCCTCAGTGCAGACGTCCAATGTGAGGGAGGTTTAGGTGACCAAATGAATCAGGCTCATCATGTTTTACTTCATCTCCAAAGTAAAGAAGTAACCTTCTGGTTTCATTCTAGAGCTTCTCTCAAGAAACTGTGTTAATTCAGGGCCACCATGGCGACTGGAATTTCTTGGATGTGCACCTTCACAGTCTTGACCAAAAGTTATTTCCACCAGTGGGAGAGCCGGGGAAAAGCCCTGGACCTTCTCCAGTGTATGGAGAGCCAGCCCAGGTAGTGCGGGAGCAGCGCGGACCTGGGGCCCTCATGCGAAGTTTCAGAGGACCTTCCTGCACAGGAATTTTGGGTGGAAGTATTTGTTATTGTTATATATCAGATGATTTTCTCATATTTTAGTTAGATCAGAGAAAGACCAATTTAATTTTTTCTAAGCTGGCTGGTCTTAGGGAGGAAACTATTTAACTTCTGAGTACTCTTATAGTGTTGTGAATTCCACATTAAAGAAAGTAAACATTTTTAGATTGATAACCTGATATGTGAAAACCTATACACGTTTGAGTAAAAGGATGATTAATTCATTCATCTTAGTTTTTTTTTTAAATAGTAAGTTCCTAAAGCTGGTTACTTTTTTTCAAGGATGTGTTTCACACTGCTTAAGATTGGTTGCTGTGTAAAATTTTAAAATCTATTTTTTTATGGATCTAAAACTTTAACAGTCTGTTGGGTTGCTTGTCACAAATTGAATATTGTTGCAGTACCATATTATTGACTATATTTAAGTATACTTTACTCTGTAGCCATTCAGTTTTCCTCAAATTCTAAGTTTGTCATAGTGTTTTACAGTGAGACACAAAGTAAATGGGTCCAAATTGTACAGTTGCTTCTATGTTATTTGTTCAAAATAGTTGGGTTGCCCCAAAATTCACTTTGGCTTTATCCCTGTCATGCTCCTGTAAGTCAAGACAATGAAAACTTGTTTGGCTTACATTGATACTTAATATCAACATGGTTTCTAAATAATGGAAAAACCACTTACCCACATATTCAACAAGCCCTAGACCAAAGCACCCTGTGGCATAGCCAAGGGCTGGCCATATCTTCACGTGCGGATCACAGAACGTGTGGGGAAATGGCAGCTCAGACAGCACGCTCCCAGCCGGTGTGGATGTGCGGACTACACGTGCGATGTCACCGTTATAATCCTCGCCGATGTCTCTGGAAAAGTACCATCCTCTGTTTAAAAAACAAGGCTCTGCATATAGTTTATCCATTGGTCCTTAGAATCAATGTCACCAGGTCTTAGATTGCTATTTATCATTTTAATGCCATCTGTGTCATGTATAATAATTCTTGGAAAGTTTAGTCAAGAGAATATTCTAAAATTTTTTTAAAAATTGCTTGCTTTGAGTAGTTTCAGCTTAGTCTAGATGGGTTGTAAGACCCATTTCAGTACAAGTAGTTTATTTAAACCAGGAATGTGTTCTAAGAAGCATTCCTGAAGTACAGAGATATTTTGCCATTGAAATAGCCTATTTGTAAACAAAGAATATTTACTTGTTCCTAAGTTACAAAACGTCAGACAGAACATCTAGATGGAACCAAATAGAGGTCGGTAGTTAAAACTTTCAGCAGAGCATTTTACAGTTTTGTTTTGCTCACCCTCATGTGGAATGCTTCATGGACACTGTAGAACTTCCCTTCATTGTGCCTTATTTTACATCAACAATTTATAAGGACAAGCACAGAAGTCGGAGGCTTTCCTGGCCACATTGCTAGTTATCACCGCCATCCCCAGAGACAAAATCAGGGAAGCATCTTGGGAACTGCTTCCAGTACTGTGAAGTCTCAGCTTTGGTCCACTGTGCACA